GATGTGTAAGCAGAGTATTATTCAGTTTCCAAGTAGTTGATTTTTTTTCCTTGCTCTTTCTATTGTTAATTTCTACCTCGATGGCATTGTGGTCAGAGAAGATACTTTGAATTATCTCAACGTTTTGGAGAATCCAACTGATTTTTGTACAGAGTGGGTGACTTTAAACAACAGAAATTTCTTGTCTCACATTCTGGTGACTAGATGTCCACAGCAACATGTCAGCTGGGCCACGTTCCCTCAAGATTTTAGGGGAAGATCATTTTTGTCTCTCCCAGTTTCCAGTAGCCCCAAGGGTTCCTTGGTCTGTAGATGCATCTTTATATGGCTGTCCTTCTTCTATCTGTCTCTCTGTGTCTCTGCTCTTTTGTAAGGACTCACTCAGATTGCATTAGGACCTAGCCTATTCTGATATGACCTCACCATTAACTGATAACATCTTGAAAGATCCTATTTTTAAACAAGTTCACACTTGTATCTTTTGGGGGGACACAATTCAATCCATTATACACTCTCAAACTGAGGTTGACCCAGATGTCTAGTTTCCAGCTCTTTTTAAAAATTTATGGCAGTACACAGAGTGACTAAGGAACTAGTTGCAGATATATATCTGCTGTCACATTTATTGTAGTACGTGGTGATGACAAAGCTTTAAAGATAACTGAAGCACTGTACAGAAAGGGTCAATATTTCCTGAAAATCTTTCAGAGTCTGGAGGATGTGAATATGTGATCCAGGAAGGAAAAAAGATCCATGTTTAAAGAAGTTAAGGGCAAAAAAGGAGAAGTTAGGGAAACACTGTGTTGCATAATTGCAAACAGGTTTATTTATCACTGAACTTCCCAGACCTTTTAATTTGCTTAATTTGCCTCCATATACTGTGAATATCTAAAGCAGTGTCCCAAATATATTTGACTATGTAGCACACACCTCCCATCCCCTAAATTCATGGTACACTGACAGAAGCAGCATTTGATGAAATACATTTGGGATATCACTGGTCTAAGCATACACTGAAGTTCCAAAAAGACCAATGCAGTAACACCGTTCTTCCATAGTACACACTGCTTAGAGGAGACTGCACATTTCTCCTTATGACAGGAGATGTGTAGATGAGACCTCAGCACCTGTCATATTGAGAGAGAAAACAGTTTTCAATGCTTGGACATTGAATACTTTACCAAAGTAGTTATACCCAAGTGAAAATCTGAAGCAAATAAAATTGCAGCCACAGTGTATTCATCAGGGGAAATTAGCCACTCAGTGCATACTCAGTGCATCACTGGGAGTGATGGTGATTAGGAAGCTGTGAAAACACCTGCCAAAACTGTGTTTTTAAAGAGCAAGGTCTCATGTTTTCAACTTCCTTGGAAAGCTTAGACTCCTCTTCTAAGGGGAAGACTTGTTACCATGTAGACTGTTCCATCAGAGTAGCTGGTGGGTGCAGCAGGGGCAGCAGGTCAAACCCGAGCCCACCCGTGCTCGCTGTGAATAGTGGGCTCCCTGATCCAAGGGCAGGATGAAGGGGGCCACAGGGCCAGGAGGGGCCCGGGTGACATCATGACGAAAGCACAGCTCTGCCTCCAAGGTCTTTGGCCATGGTTTGGTAACAGGAATCACATTCCTCCTTTGCATCCCTAATACCGTACAGTCCTGTACCCATTTTGGTTTCGTGTCCTTTGAACTCTTCCTGGAACAGGAGCTTTATTGTTGATTTTTAACCAGAACCATTCTTCCAGAAAGTCTTTGTTCCCCTTCATGTTCACATCATCAATTTTATTTTGCTTGTTTCACCCACTTCTAGGACATTGACTATTTTCTGTTCATTGTCTTGCCTTTAAATATCAGTATCTACACCCTGCCTTTGGCCATCTTCTGTTTTAAGCTGCCTTCTCAGCTAACAGTCTTCCCCATTTTCCAGTGGCTTTAATACATTCTGGGAGTTTCTCTTTCTCATTTCAGACTTTGTTCATTTAGATAAACCACTCCAATGCCTGGAGCCCTACATCCCGCAAATGTGGCACAAGGGGGAATTTGAGTGTCTACAACACATCTATGTTAAGGTGATTATAAAAAAAGCAGTTTAGCGTGGCAAAGAAGAGGCCAACCTCTGAGGCAGCCTGCTTGGCTATGAAGAAACTGTTAGCTGTGGCTTTGGACAAGTAACCAATCTTTTTGTGCCTCATTTTCCCTGTCTATAAACTGGGGAAAATAATACTACCTAGCTCACTTGGTTACTGTGAGGATTACTTAGATTAACATGTCTAAAAGGCTTACAACAGCACCTAGAACACAGTAAAACAAAACCAAAAACCACCAAACCAGTTTCTGTGACGTCAATCCTAACTCATGGCAACCCCATGTGTTTCAGAGTAGAACTGTGCTCCATAGGGTTTTCAATGGCTGATTTTTGGAAGTAGATCATCAGGCCTTTCTTCTGAGGCACCTGTGGGTAGATTCAAACTTAGCAGCGTAGTGTGGTAAATATTTGCACAACACCTAGAACTCACTAAGTACTGTATAATCCTTAGCTATTACTATTTCCACCATTAAAATAACAAAAACATCTTAGAATAAAGTTTGGAGAATTTTTTTTTAATTATGTTTTTTTTTTCTTTCTAAGGCCCAGATTATATAAAGGATCACCTACCTAAAATTCATCAGCACTCTTCCTACATAGGAGAAAAGCGTCCGGTGTCAGAAAAAACTGGAGATCTCAGATATTTATGGAGACCTGACCCACACAGAGGCTTACCAGCAAAATATAAACACAACTATGTTGGTGAAATTGGTTGGGGAATACCTAAGTATGATTTTATCAACAAATCAAATATTGAGTCCGGCTTTCACATCAAGGTATTGCTCTTAAATTTGTGCTTTTCATAGTATATTGTTTTCTAATTTAATTCTTTGTGAATTTGCTTCCATAGGAAATATCATATGCTTGGTTTGCCATTGAGAAGTAATAAGATTTTATTTTTACAGAATGGTAAATGTGTGAATAAATGTTCCCACTACCACTACTCCTTCTTAGACCCTCTAATGTATGAGGGAAGAGGTGTGGAGACAATGAAGCCATGGACAATCCAAAAGTGTTTGTGTTTGACTTCAGACCACATTCGGAGTCACTTATGCTGAGACATTCACACGACTTTCCCTTCTCTGAGCGCTGCCTTGTACATGAGTGGTGTGAAAGAAGAAGCCTGTGCGGGACATAATTCACAGAGCTAAACCAGGAGTCACAGACTCTCAGAATCCACTGTGGTGAGAATGTCTTGAAGCAGGTAATCCAGGATATGTAGACAGTGGCTTCTCAGAAACTTTGTTTTATTTCCTTTCGGTGATGTGGCTGGAGGCATGAGCCCATACAGTCTCCTCTGAAGCAGAAGAGAGCACAAGTGATTTTAGAAGTAAAATCTGAAAATTCAGATATTATTTTCCATGGAGGCTGTTGAGTTATTCGGAAATCGAGCATGTATTTATTATGTGGTAATCCTATTTCCTCAAATTCTTTAGGCAATAATAGTACAGCTTTATAAGGTAAACGTTAACACAAAGAAAAAGTATTTGCTGGCCCTACCTGTGGCAGGCAGGGCTGATGGTTCAGTGGTGGAAGTCTTGCCTTCCATGAAGGAGACTTGGGCTGAATTCCCAGCCAATGCACCTCATGCATAGCCACCACCCATCTGTCGGTGGAGGCTTGAACGTTGCTGTGACGCTGAACAAGTTTCAGCAGAGCTTCCAGACTAAGATGGACTAGAAAGAAAGACCTGGCAATCTACTTCTGAAAATCAGTCAATGAAACCCTATTGATCCCAACAGTCTGATATTCAATTGATTATGGGGTTGGCACCAGACCAGGCAGCGCATCCTTCCCTTGGGCACGGTGTCGTCCTAAGTTGAGTCGACTGAACAACAGCTAACAACAACACAACAACCTGTGGCAGTAAAGGAGAGTGGTTGGGGGCTTAGTCTTTGAAGTCAGGTTGACATGGCTTCAAATCCTGCCTCTGGTTTGGGTTGAGCTCTGTGACTGTGGGCGCATGAGTTTATCTCGCTACACTTCTGTTTTCCCGTCTTCCACAAGGCAGTGCTCAGAGTGCCTGCTTCACAGGGTCACCTGCGCTTCTATGCTGCTTCTGCAACCTACGAGCTGTGTGTGGCCTTGGGCAAGTGCCTTAACCTCGAGCTTGGTTTCTTTATTATGAAATATTAATATCTACCTTACAAGGCTGTTGTGAACATTAAGAAGTTAATATTTGTAAAGCTTTGGGAACAGGTCTGACACGTAGCCAGCACTATATGTGTTCAGTATTATTACTGTTACGTCTTGAGGATTAGCAATGAGAACACAAAGCAGGCACTAAGCATGATGCCTGGCACATGGTTTCCATCCAAATTGCAATTTATTAGTGCTGTGGTTGATGCACGTTATGTTATTCAGTGTCAATTAAATGGAAGGAATGCTCTGGTTCTTAAACTGTGTCCTCTGCCTCTTAGGCATTAAAGATGAAGATCAGAACTTTGATAAATATTAGACTGGCCACCAGCATGAAGAGTAGAGCTCGAGAGTAAGGCAGTTGGTTTTAACAGAGTCCAGAACTTTTGCTGCCTTGTTGCTTCTCATTGGGTGATGCCCAGCCTTTGTGCACAGCCCTCAGTCTGTCTGATCATCTTGAGTGTGTATAGCTTCTTCATCTTTATCTTTCTTCATCTTTAACTGAAGAACACATTTTTCTGCTCTAATGAAGTGAAATCAAGCAGTCCTAGGTCTTTGAAGCAAGGTAGGAATCTAACAGAGATGATGGCAGCGAGTTAGCCTTCCTGTAAGGTGTTTATGTGGCTTCTTTCGTGAGCAATTCACAGACTGCTGGGCATCACTGTTTGGCGTGGGAATAGGTCCTCTTGACCTCTGAGCGACTGAGTGGGAGCCGTTGGATGGTCTTCTTCCCATCCTGTGGCACATTCAGAACTTGGTCTTTTTGGCACATGCTGCAGGGGATGCTGCTTATCAGCCCTGCCCCTCTCGGCCCCTTGGTCCTGGCATTTTGACAGTAATTGTTTCCAAAGATCTGCCTGCCCCCGTTAGCTTTCATCAACAATGCCATAAGGGTTCCTTTACCCAGAGTTTTATAATGACAACAGAAAGATTCACCGAGCATGGCTAGGTGTATTTGCAATAAACCACATATAATTCATGTAGGTTCAGGCCTACACTGGATTATGTTGGAGGCCCTGGGGGGTGCGCAATCCATTAAGCGCCGGACTACTAACTTAAAGGATGGAGGTTAGGACTCACTCAGAGGTGCCTCATGATTCCAAAAGGTCGAAACGCGGTTGATCCTGCGGAACTGAAACCACAGAAAGTGAAACCGTGGACGGGGGGCTACGGTACAAGCATCTCTGGCATTAACTCGTGCCCATTCTCACCAGAGCCCTGATGAATTCCTTGTTGTTGTTGTGGTTAGATGCCATCTAGTCGTCCCTGACTCTTGGTGAACTCATGCTTAAAGAGAAAAAATGCTTCCCAGTTCTCCACCAACCCCATGATTGCTTGCAGATCACACCGTTGTGATCACAGGGTTTCACTGGCTGATTAGTGGTGTGTAATTTTGGGAAAGATCTCCTCAATCTATTTTCTGTTCTTTCTCCCAGTTCCTTGTCTTTCAGTGGACCTCTTCCTCATCCCTCACCCGTCCTTGTCCCATAATGGTCCAAATCAAAATGGCCACTTCTTTGTTTCAGTCTAACTTTAGAGTGTTTCTCACTGCAATTGCTCAGAACTTAGATTTTGAGCACGTACTGGATTTTTATAGCCCTAACAGCTGCTGTTCCTAATTTACTGCTCCACAGGTTTGTCTGAGGCTGACAGCTAAGGAAGCCCAGGCACCCCGATAGACTGTTCATAAAATGCCTGGAGCAGCTGCTTCCTACCTGGGATTGCTATCCCTAATTTGGGGCACTGGCGGGTTCTATAGATCATCTGGCTTTTGGCAGGAAGCTAATATCTTCCAGGCTAAGTGTCACCTGAAAAACTTTCCTCCACATTGCAGAGGTCAGTAAAAATCACAATATCAGGTTTCGTTTCTGGATTTTTTGTGGTGAACTAGTTCCTACTCACTTTTCTGCAGGTTAGAATGCTATAATAATACATGTGTATACAAGCCAGGAATGATATCACAACTTTTGTTATCATCTCAGATGTAAGAGCAGCACATTCTTCTTCTTTTTTTTTTTTTTTCAATTTGGTCTCTGCCAAACTACAAACATTGTTTATATAGAGTCAGTCCTTCTGTTTCAACCCTGTGCTACCCTGAGGAGTTTTTCTAACTGCATCTTAGCTGGTCTTGTCTCCTCTCCCCGGCCTTTCTTTAACCCAAACTTCAGCAGGGTCAGCTGGCTTCCTGATTGCCCCTTTCTGCTCTTACACTCTGACTGCATGACTAAATGATTTAAGTCTTTTGATTTTCCCACAAAAAGCATGCTATACTGGACTTGAAGACTGACTCTTCATAAGTGTCATCCTAACAACAATATTAAATCAATTAATCATAATGTACATTACACCCAGTACATTATGCAATACACAATTTTAAGTCTATATAAGGCAGTAAGGAGAACTATGGCAACCCAGCAATATCTTTATATTTTATGCAATATAATATAGTAAAAACTAAAATTTTCAAGGCTTTGAAATTTCTGCCTCATATTTTACAACCCACTGGCAACTTCTGTGTCATTTTTTCCCTCTTTATGCCTTTTCTTTCTCCCTGCCACCTAGCTCTGTATGACACCTCACCCCACCTTCCACTGGCTCACCAGCTATTTTTCCTCTTATTTTCTTTCTCTCTCTTTGCTTTGTTCCCTCTACTTAGCCCTAGTACACAACCCCCCCCCCCGCCTCCTGCTGGCCCTCAGGGTGCCACATAGTTACAGTATCTTCCACTCAGGCCTGCCACCACACCCAGCTTGCACTGCCCCTCTCCTGTCACTTGAACAGCAGCTGAACAGAGAGAAGCGAGCCCATACACTCTGCTTCCAACACCCCCACCTCTTTCATGAGGGGCTGTGAATGCTCTTACATCACTGGATAGACACTAGGAGGCAGACGGCAGCTGCTCAGTCCAACCTCAGCCAACTTGCCAAACCAGGGTACAGTGAATCAGTCTCACCCTGCTTGCTGTTGCCCTGCCCACACGGACAAGGTGATGACAGCTGTTGTGCCCACAGATGAGCAAGTAGTAAAGCATGCCCAGCCTGCCTGCCCTGACTTATAAACAAAACAAAGAAGCAGGAAGAAACAAAAGAACACACAATCAATAAATACAAAAAATAATACTTTAATGTCTCGGAGAGAGCAGACAATATCAAAACATTTAAAAACACAGGACAAGATGGCTCCAGCAAGTGAGCAAAATAAATAAACATATGACCTCTGGTAGAAGAAAAGGCAGTGGAATTACCTGATATGGAATTCAAAAGACTAGTATTTAGGGCTCTCCAAGAGATTAGGAAAAAGATCAAGGAAAACACAGACAAAACCAAAGAAAAATAGACAAAATCATAGAAAACATGGACAAAACCAGCGAAAACATAGCCAAAATCAAGGAAAACATAGACAAATCAGTAGAAGAATTCAGGAAAATAATACAAGAACAAAACATCAAAATAAATAATTAGATATTATACAAACACAGCAAGTAGAAATCCAAAAGATAACAAAATTTCAGAAACGGACAACTCAATAGACGGTTTTAGGAGCAAATTTGAAACAATGGAAGATAGAATCAGCGAGATTGAAGACAATCCCTGGACATCACTTTGCCTGAGGAAAAAATCAGGGTGAAGAATGAAGA